TGTGACATTTGATTTGCAACTTAATATTTAGAGTAAATAAGAAATACATTTTATGAACTGGAATATTCCTATATTCCAATTATAAACTATAAAAAACACATATTAATCATGAGTAGTTAAAGGCTTTTATTATACCCCACATAAAATAACAGGAAAAGCAGATTTTATAAAACATACCTCAACAGGTGTGGCGTCCTGCAACACTTTCATTGCGGCTCTCTGAATCAAGTCAAATCCACTTCCGGTCACAACAATACCACGGCCACCACTGCACACACAAAAATACATTTCAGTAAGGGTTAGCTACAAATAATTACCTTACAGTTATTATTGGCCTTACTAATAATGCCAATAATAACACTACAATTAAAGAATGTGTTAATATTCAGTGTTGTGCATATTCTAACCCTAAATTATATGGCTGCAGCATATCAAAGAGATGTTAATAACTGTTTACCACACAAAGCTGGCCTTGGGGTTGTAGCCTGTGATCTTGGGGTTCTCAGAGTACTGGTATGCAGCCAGGACATCTTTCGTAGTGTTTTTTCCATAGTTCACAGTCACAGTCAGGAGGTCAGAGGGGACCTTCTGTCCACGGTATTGGCCTGTCTTACATGTGATCTTTTTACCAAATGACAGCCTGAGGAGAAAACAGGATAGAGGGCTAATTAATTAACGTAATGACAAAATTACAGGGAACTACAAAATACTTTGCTTTGTTTCTGCCTTGTCAATATAAAAAAAAAAAAACTATTAATAATCTTTGAAATGTGGCAATGTTTTCAGTAAAGCATCATCAAAGAATCTGTATTGTATTTTGTGGCTCAGATATGAGATGTATCACTTACACTTCACATGGTACTCCTCCAATGTTGACCGCCACATCTTCTTTAGTTGCTGTGTCCAGGTATTCCCCTTCAATGGTGATGACTGTTCCTCCGGCTGCTGGACCCTTGGCTGGCATCACATACTGTGGTTTGGGGTCCTTAAATTAAAAACAAAATATTGAAGTTCAAACTTTCCTAGTTCAAATTCTCCTTAAAATAGTAGAATAAAATATAAAGCAGCAAAAAGGATGATAGTAAATTGTATTTTGACTAAAGGCTGCCACACACTACAGGATTTTTCGGTCTTAAACCATTTTTAAACGTGCAACAAAAAGCACACGCCACAGACATGAGGAGAATCAGATTTTAAATATCAAATTGCAGACTGTAGCTGGATATGGCTCCGGACCACAAGGTACAGTTATGAACACACCTTGCGTCAGCCATTTCCTGCCGAGACTAAAACCACTCGCTATGAGACTCTTGCGTGTTCAAAAGATCTAAGCCTTCTGGTTTAGATACCAGTCAAAACTGTTATTTGTGAAATGTGGTGCAGTACTTCAGCGAAATGATTTTTAATGCACAGATGATTGGCAATAAAGTACACACAAATATCTCCAATTTGTAGCTTCACCCCAATCCGTGCGATGTGTGGATGTAAACGGACACACGTGAGAATCTACTCTCACCTTTTTACTTTTACAAAATTCCTTCAAACTGGATTAATAGTACTGTTTTGTGGACTGGATGTCATTATTTGTGCAGGAGTGGAGTTTATATCTTGTGCCTCTGTGTCCGTCACTCTGTCAGTCCCTGACACTGTTTTACTGGCCAATACCATAGCGTTGATGAAGTTTGGTGGTTAAGATCTAACAGAGCAGCTGAGAGTCACACTGACACCACACATGAGTGCAGTGGCTTCAAAATCGTATATGAAGAAACAAAGTCGGGTCACACCTTCCCGAACTTGGGGAGAAGCAAATCTCATTCTCCTGTAGTGTGTGGTGTTCTTAAGGGTGATCCAATATGGATTACTTATGATACTTATCATACTTATGCCCCACATTTGTGTTGTTGTTCTAGCCAATAACTGATAAAGATTTAAAATGCATAGGGCGCCAAAGATGATGTTAAGCTCATAAATTAACTTTTCACTGTAAAAAATTATTACAGCCCGATTTATCAGGTACATAAATGAATTTGTTTCATGATTGTGTAAACATACAGCTATATTTTAGCCTAACTGCTTCTCTATTTTGAAAAGCCACATTTAATACACTTGAAGAAAATACAGTGGCACATAGAGACTGGGGCAGGTCAGAAAAAATAAGCGTGGCAAACATTGACTGAATTGTTAATATCAAATGTGTTTAACTTTAACCCCTTCGATAACACAAGAACAAATGTCAAATCATGAGCTCTAATACAATTTCAAAAGTATTGAAATATTGATAAATGAGTTGCTACTAACAACTTTTTTAACAGCGCAGAGAGCATAGCAAACAAAAATATATTTATTCCACACCACACTGAAGAATGTGGAAACTTCCAACTCATAGATCCGGAAGAGCAGCTGCGCACGGAGCATTAAATCTCTCAGTTTGATGGAAGGGAAGAAAGGTGTAAAATAAAAGCAACATGTTTTTAAATCCCTGCACCAGCTCGGATCTCCTTGTAAAGTTTTGATAAAATCTTGCTGATCTGGCAGGAAAAAACAAACATTCCCAAAGAGGAAACTTCATACACCAGCTCACAACAGCACAGCTACATGGGAGAGATTTGTCACATAACTTGTAGCATAGGTTCTATATTGGTCCAACAACTGAAAACATCAATTCTTTCTCCAAGATCTCAAGACCAAATCATATCCTTTAGTGTGTAGTGATTGTATAATATTTGTCTATTCTCTCTTATTAGGACTTGAGACTGACATAAAAAGAAAGTAGGCACAAAGAAATTTTAAAAAATGTAATTTATATGTGCAGTTTGCAAATAAACAACCTATCTTTTACTTAGTTACCAGGTTGACAGTGTTGGGAAGGTTACTTTTAAAATGTATTCTCCTACAGATTACAGATTACATACCTCAAAATGTAGTTTGTAACAGAATCCATTAGGTGAGAAATGTAATCTGATTACTTGATATTGTCATGCTTTTTAAAACTACATGAATGTAGCAACCACATCCCGTTCTCTTCAAATTGGCTGTTGAGCCCAAGTCTCCATGAACATTTGTTTGCAGTAGAGAAGCAAAGACTAGGAAATCTTAACATAAGATCTTTTGTCTGCTAAAAGAAAATAAAAAGCAGAGTCTTTCCTTAACTGTATTAAAAAGATTATTGATAGAGAAATGCTTTCTATATGAGATCACAGCTGCTTTAAATTATGTCCACCCTGCTGTCAGGTGTCATATTGTTTATGAAAGAAAAAAAAATAAATCACTTTCAGTACAAACATAAAGGCGCTAGCCCAGTAAAAATCAGTAATATTTTATGTTCTTTACTCAAATGATGATGAATCAGATTATTAACAACGACAATTATGAACGACCTCGTCCACTGGGTGACTGACACCACCAACAACCTGTAACAAGACGTTTACGTAGCTCTTACTGTCTGTGTTCTGTTCGGGTTTCTGGCAATGAGCGGAGTTACCAAAATAAAAAAAAATTAATAAATAAAAAAAAGGGATATAGCCCAAAATGTCATGTAATCCATTTATTTCAACAAAGTAACTGTAATCCAATTACCACTCACTGAAACAGTAACTGTAACCAAACACAGTTACTCATAATTTGTCTTCTGATTACGCAACACCGGTACATGTAATCTCCCCAACACTGCAGGTTTATGAAACAAAATAATTTGTAATGCTAACAAAGTGCATTTGCATTTGCAAGTGAGTGTGTGAAGTAAAGATATTTGGAAGCAAACAAACAATAAAACAAAAGAAATTTGAAAAATATAAATGGCTACTTTTTTGTCACAGCAGTCTACATTAATTAACTTGCTCAATTACAAACAATAATATCTGAATCAAGCCACAAACGGCAACAAACAAACCAGCAGGAGGAACATATACTGTAGGTATTTCATTCTCCACACCACTGAGTTTGTACAAGCAAGTACTGGAAGTTTTTTTTTTTAATTATTATTTTGTTGTTTTCAAATAAATAAAAAAGGGATAATCTGAATGATCAAAAAGCACTAATAAAACATGGCATTGCATAAGATGTGCACCTGCATGCAAGACCATAAAACAGAACAGACATGTACCTGTCACTTGATACTCAATATTTAGTTATCACAGGTAGCAGATTGCATGATCCAAACATGCACCAACTTACCCGGTAAGTGAAAATGACCTGTGATGTTCCACTTCTACCCCCCTCCACTTCTATGTTCACAGTGCCTTGGTTTCGCGGTGGGAACGGGATGTCAGATGGAGGCGTTCGCTTTGCAGGGCCAATTTCACACACCACACTGTCAACACAAAGCATCAGTCAGAACTGTTACAGCTGCAGGCAGTGATTTAATATTCAAGTACACTACATGTGAAATTAATTAAAACACCAGACTGTCAAGAAGCACAAGTTGTGTACTGACCAAGGATGGCCTAAGAATAACTCTAATACACCTCTAAAACTACAGATGGATACATTCCATCTTCACCTATACATGTAAAATGTTGAAAACAAAAAAATCTGTAGATAACACAGAGGCTCAACATCCTAAGATTGGAATAATTGTCTATTGCTATGGCCTTTTCTTGAGCAAAACATTTCACTAATCTTACAGAGAGCTGAAAATGTAACCAAGGTTCTATGAAGCCCAGTTTGCCAGAGGGCGTGCAGAAATGATTATGTGCAAAGGGAATAATTTAGTCCTTTCAGCACTTCCCTATGGTGGTCAGTAGGAGTTGTAAGAATGTGGCAATATGTTCTTGATGATAGTAAAATGTTCATAGGTCCTGTTTGGTAAGCACCCATGTCTCACTCAATTTTCTTAAAATTTTCTCTCTAGTGCTTAAGAAGGCATAAGCCTTCTTTTAATGGAAATATTGATTAAAAAGCTCAAATTATCTATTACCTATTTATAAACATCAGTAACCTCAGGTTATTAGTATTGTATAATAATATTGACTTGTACCTTGTGGAGACAGAATATCTGTCTTCCTGGTGCACACAGTCAACTCCAGCAACAGTAATCTTCTTGATGTCCTCTTTCTTAATGCCCATGTTAGAACCTTTGATGGTGACTGAGATATGGCCATTGAGTGGGCCATAACGAGGGATGATCTGAAGGAATGGAAAATAAATCTTTCTCAGTACACACTCAAATAAATATATGTGTAACAACAGATGACAATAGAGGAGGGTCTTACGTCAGTGATTTCGGGGTTGGGGCACAGCTCCGGCTCCGGAGACAGGCACAGGTCGTGGTAAACACAGGTGTGAGTGGAGGCACACCAAACACACTGGTATTTAGAGTCAGCATGTTTACAAAGACTGCAGTCCTCCCTGCCCACTGAGCAGTTATACAGTACCACTACAGGAGAGGGTGAAAAGTGGTTACAAACCTCAACTCAATATAGGAATGACATATGATAACACTATATACATGTAACACTATAAATGTGTGTCACAAACACCACTAAATGTAGTGTTTAGATCATGATTTATTTGTGATGCATATTGCGGCCCTACTAACCTGTCAGAGTACTGTCAATCTTCCTCTCTGTGTTTTGGTCTTTGATGTGGAATGTAACATTTGTTTCTTGCTGTTTGTCATAGGCAAACTAGACACAAATACAACATATACAATTAAAAAGCACAAACCACACTTGATGACTTCCCCATTTGTCAAAGATGTAGACTATAAAAATGCATCAAAAAATATTTTTTAGGCCCAAGATTTTAGGTATATGGTTTTGAAGTAGAAACGTCTGGGCAAAGTTGACTAGAAAGACTAGATACTGCAAAGACCAACATAAAACTAATGAAAGGGCACTGGCTTAAACACACACATAGTTCAAGTGCACATCAGCAGTATTCTTCTCAGCAGGAACTGGAAATCAATAAGGAAGACTGGAGGAAAAAGTGTGAATGAGCAGAGAAAAGTCACTGACCTACAAAGGCTACCTGCCATTCATTGACTGAGGGAAAGTCATAATAATGCTTATACCACAAGGGGGAGCAATCAAAAACACACTTCTTTGGCAGACTTTGGGTTTCAAGGCTCTCAATACAGTGTAATTTTTAGACATTAAATGACAATTGAAATCTCAGAAATACCATTTAAAACACACACAATGGACGAGTTGGAAAAAAATAAAAAATAATTATATATATATATATATATATATATATATATATATATATATATATATATATATATATATATATATATATATATATATATATATATATATCACATATATATATATATATATATATATATATATATATATATATATATATATATATATATATATATATATATATATATATATATATATATATATATATATATATATATATATATATATAGATATAGATATAGATATAGATATAGATATATAGATATATATTAATAATAAACTTTTACTTTGTTATAACCCTCATGGCCTTAGGGCTTGCTACTGGCATTAACAAACTAACCTTGTATCCTCTGAACTTGAATTTGGAGCCCTCCTCTTGAATAACTGTGTGTTCTGTATTCTTCATTAGTTCTGTTCCAATGGAAAACCTCTGAACCTACAGAAAGTCATTACACAAAGAAAATACAATAAGTGAAAAGTACTGTGTTGCTTATTAGTTATTCAGTACTAGATGCATGTATAGGGTCTCACAGAGTATCCCAGATTTCGGCCGTGGAAACTGATGGGGATTTCGAAGCCAACAGGAATAAGCAGAGGCTCTGGGGACTCGAACTGAGGGCAGCTGTCTGGCTACAGCCATGACATTAGAAGCAACACAGGTCAGTGTTATTTACAGAATGCATTTTACACACTAAAATTTGAGAAATGTGCACTGGAGGAGGGAGTAAAAAAAGTTTCACTTCTTCCCAGCTTTTTAAGTTCTTACCGTAAGGTTTTTATTATAGTAAGGGTACAAATGTTACAGAAATGTTTGTTGTAAGTATTGTAAAGTTGACATGACAGTAATGTGTGAAAAGGAATTGAACAACCAAGCTTGTGACCATCATTAACTGGAATACACTGCATGTAGTTTTTTTTTTAAATGTGAGTGAAATATGAATAAAATCTGAACAGTTACACACTTTCTTTCATGAACAGAATATAAGTAACCATATCAGGTAAGATGAATATAATTTAAAATAATCTTTGATGCCCCAACAATTTAAGACATACCTGTTGTGGCTTGATTATGTGGCTCCCATACACAGAGTCATCCTGGTCACTGCAGCTGTGCTCCTGGGCATTCCACTGACAGCCCCAGTCACTGGTCACACATGAGATGCACCTGTAGCACACAGCATAAAATACTTTCACCTAAATGAACCCTGTGTTGTGTTTATTTTCAGACAATAAATCTTACGGTGTATTCGGGTTCTTTCTGACGGTTGCAGCACAGTTGTAAAAGTGGTATTGGCTCGATGTCACCTCTATATGTTTGTTTACCATGACCTTCACAGGAACAGACACATAATCTGAAAGAATAGGACATTTATATTTTAGACTTGATGCAATAATAAAGGCAAAAAAACAAACAAAAAAAACCTTTGGAATATAACATTTCTAATCCATTATAAAGTGCTAAAAACTGCTGTTCTGGAGGAGAATTTTACAATTTGAGAAACAAATGTGAATAGATTGGCTTATCATAAAACAGTAGCTATTAAAAATGTGTGCCGTCAATTATCTATGTATCTCTATGACATTATTACTTGTAAGATTAATACTTGTAAGATATGCTTTTGTGTGGCCATACCTTGCAGTCCTGGAGAAGGTGGGATATTGACCGGCTCAGGCAATGAGCAGGTGACAACTTTACTATAACTGTCCATTGCTGCTTCACTGGTGTAGGTATCAAAGACACACTGCAGAGTGTCATTGGACCTCAGCCGTGGCAGGGAGGGGATAATTATGTCCACCTAGAGGACATTAAAAATAGCATTAATTATAAACATCATCTATTTGAAACAGGACTTAAACAATTAATTTTCTATCTGCATAAATCCCAGTTGTGGTACTTGCAAACTTTAAAAAGGAGAGCCTTATGAGTAATGAGAAGCACAAATAAGAGTGTGGATTGAGTTGACCTTGATAAATGGTGTATAATGCATAATAATGGGGTTTACAGTCAGGTATGTGTGGTACTGTAATAATTACTATTCAACAATGTACCCACTCCTCATTACTCTTCCCTGACCTCTCAGTTTGTTTTTTTAAAATATTTTTCCCAGGTTTAACCACCAAAACTTTCTGATCTTCTCTCGCTCTAAAGCAGAGAATTCACCTGGGGTTTTCTTTTACCTCACCACAGAGGAAGGACTGCAAATATTTTTGTCTTAGCAGATTTAATTCACACACTGGTCCCAAAGTCCCCTGATTAGGAGGAAGCACGTCCTTCTCTAAGGGATAGAACCACATTAGCTGTTTGCTGAGGTTAAAACCATGTTGGACCCATCTCTTTCTGCTCTAAAAACTAAGACATCTCTAAGGAGGAAAAGGCCATGAAGAAAAGTGCCGTTATGTTTGCTGATAACACCTGTGCTGTGCTATACGTGTGAGGAAAACAGATTGAGCAGTACCATTTTAGGCCTATCTGTAAAAATTAAATGCTGGTATATAAACATCACTACATATAAAATCATTCAAGGTGCACTGTATAACTCTTTTTTTAAGGAGGGTCTGCCACCTGCAAGTCTCTCTAGATGTTAATGCTTTGGCTTGGAATGTTATACATTAACATAGCATTAAACTTATCTTATAATTATTCAACTGCAAGTGTTTTATAGCTAAAACTCCACTGGAAAACATGTATTCTTACTTTGAGTGGTATTTTTGGCCGGGTGTTGTCCAAGTATCACCATTAGCTAGATATGTTTAATGTAGTACCTTGGAATATTCCAGTCAAAGCAAAAACATCTCAATGAAAACAGCAAGCCTGGTGGCAGACATTTCACCAGAAAATGACACAATGCAGGAGCCGAAGCCGAAGCATATAGATAGCATTTGTCAAATTATACACTTTAGAAATGATGATACTTCATAGATTAGGTTATTCAGTGAACAATAAGTATTATTTAAATTCCATGTTTGATACACAAATTATCCTCATACTCACATCAGCCTTTTATAATTAAAGCCTTTTCAACATTTTGGAATGATTCAACAACATTACTCAATTTCCATATATTAGCCCACCAGGAAGAATAGCTATTTCTGCTGTAATAAAGAAATTGTTGCTTCTGACTTTTCAACCTGGTTATAGTTATGAGTCAAAGTAACACAATCGCTGCTTCAGGCACCTGAAGCCCCCCTTCAGGTCCACCTGCTTGGGACTTGTTTGAAATGCTGCAGACAGCGAAGGCAGGAGTTTAAGGAACGCACAGCTCAGCACACTCTGAACTTGGAGTAGCTCACGGGGAGTGGGCCCTGGAGAGGAACAGAGGAGGCCGCTGACATGTTCATTCACAGTAACTGCCTCTCACCTGCTGGGTCTTCCTGCAGCTGATGTTTGGGGGAGAGAAGGCCTTGATCTGGACACACTGCTGATTAGGAGACCACAGCCAGGTGTTTTCATCCATAGATCTACTACACTCCTGCTTACGGGTGCACCTAGGGTTCACATTAAAGCATGTGGTTAACTGTCTGAATTTGACAGTTTATAGTGAATGGACTAGATTCTGCTTTTAAAATAGTTTTAGTGTTTAAATCTTACAACAGTTCAGTTTACAACTTTTCTTTTTGTACTGAAACATAACACAATATAATATTACTAAATGTGTTTGCATATAAGACTTACTTTCCCTCAAGGACACACCATCCACAGTACGGATCCTTCAAAGAGATACAGGACTGACAATCTGTCTTCAAATGACACGCCTGAACAGGAACTTTAGTGATCTGAAACAACACATTTTGTGTCACTGCCACGCTGCTGTAAATCTAATTCCATCTAATTCAATTATTCATATTCTGTCAAATCAGCAGGGGCAAAACCTTAGTTGGGCTGTACCCTGGATAATGATCAGTGAGACTGAAAACATGGACTGAATTATCGTAAATTTAAAATTATGATAAAACAAACAAACAAAACACAAGAACTTTTATTTAAAAATGTATAATTGTGATTTTCTTTTGCTATTTTTATCTTGTAAATAGATGAGTGTTCCTTTCAGAAACGGAGCCTATGTAATACATATAAATGAGCAGATGGAACAAGTCCAAGTATCGTCTCTTGACTTGATCAAAGTGAAGGGCCCACTTGAAGTACATTCTAATTAATTCATTTCTAAATCAATAACATCAATTTCACCTCAGCCAAGAGTGATAGCGACAAAAAGATGAAAGGACAAAGGAGAGAAGGATGGATGAAGTGAGAAACAAAGCACACTGCCACAGAGAAAATGAATGAATAAATCAATGGGCGGCTTCTGTGTGGCAATGCAGACAGATGTACTGGGGTTAGTCAAACAGATGAATTTATGATCAAACACGACAGATAAAACTAATGAGGGATTCATTGAGTCCCAGACAACTAACTGAAACAAAGATGTATAGCTGGATAAAGTGCTGTGCCAATGACCTTGGAGGTGTGAACACAGAGGAGGAGGATAGATAGAGGAAAGGAAGATGGATCTGATGAAAAGTTAATCAATCAGTTGCTCTGTCTTAGGGCTGACCTTCTTTTCTGTGGTAATGTACAGGTGCTCAAGGCTGGAGTCAAAAAGCAGGTCCTTGTTGACCTTATCACCAGTGGCTTCAGCCAGTGTTTGTACATTCCCCTCTGAGTGGGCCGAGAGGTGCACCTTCAGAACCTAAAACAAAGCATAAGAGAACAATTAAGGTTACAAATCACCTGACCTTCCAGATCCTAAAATTAGTCTAAACCATGAGGTTGTTAACTCAAGTTAACTTAAAGGGGACAAAAACATTAGAGGAGTTGCCTCTAAATAAAACATACTCCAACTGTAGAGGGCCACCATATCAACAGCATCACAGTTTGATAATCAGCGTATAGGCCTATAGTACCTAAAAAGATGTAACCACAGTTTAATATGAGTGTTTTAATAATTAAATAAAATAAAGTTATAATACTACTACTAGGTGGACCAAAGCGCAGCATAGTTGCTCATGAAAGCAGACTCGCACTCGCACTCACACACGCACAACTTTACGATCTCTGTGTATGCATTGATGGTACTCATAAGGAAAGCAGTGAATAAATTCCACTCCAAGACACATTCCTGTCCTCACCCCTCCTCCTGTCATTATATTCATAAACTCAAGGAGAAGCACGTATCACAGAAGGACTCATATATCTATCATAATCTAATTAATAGATTTTTCTGCTTCTGGACTTATTTCCTCTAAAAGCTTTAGCTCTGCTGCGCAACGTGAAAACAAACAGCGCTGTGTGATGATGTCATCAGCGTGGCCAGGTTTGGTTGTGCAGGTGTGAGTGTGGGACATAGAACCCTACACAATTGTGCTTGAGCACGGCACGGTTCTAAAGTCCTAGTGTGAGTGCGCCCTAAAGCTGAACAAAGTTTATTTTGTAATATATTTATAATATATTTATATAAATATGTATATTTATTTTATTTTTAAATATACAGATTCTAGAACAGCTGGATATATAGTTTATTTTGGATACATTTATGTTTTTCTATGCATTATTTCATGTTCAGTATATATTTTATGTTTGTGTTTGTGTTGACATCGCAAAACTGCTCTAAAGGTACATATATGTAGCCTATATTCATTTTCAGTTTGAAAGTTTTGCGTAAATTATCAATAACAAAGTGGGGTTTTTTCTGAGAGAAATGCTGAATAAATGCATCGTGTAATAAAAAAAAAATCCTTTGAGTGATTTCAATATTGACCAAAATAATCATGAAAATTATTTTTTCCATAATTGAGCAGCCCTATAATACACAGCACTTATATAGCGCTTTCAAGGTACTCAAAGACAATTTGCAGTTAGGGACCACAGGAAGCTCTGGCAGGTAGGTGGCGGTCAGGTTATGGAGGATTTGTACACAGTGGTAAGCAGCTTGAACTGGATGCTCTGTATGAGGAAGTGCAGGTAAGGAGACAAGCTGCATAGTTCTTAATGTATTCGAGTGAATTGAAGAGTTTGGTGGGTGAACCTTAGAGCAAGCTATTGCAGTGGTAGTTATATGAAGTACACGCTAAAGTTTCCTCACACAAGAATGTAATCTGAAATTGTGTAATCCCCCAGTCGTCTAGACAGGGTCCAAGTTTTCAGTTTAAATATGTTCACTCTAAAACTACATTTGTAATTTCAACAGTGGCTGGTTTAGTGGGAATACTTAGGGAAGAAATTACATAAATGTTATCATACAAAGTCTATTTCACATTTCCATTAACACATCAATTCAACATTATAGCTTCCTGTGATGCCAAAAAAAAAAAGTCTTTACCTCTCCAGTAGAGGTGCCCAGGAATGCCACAGCATGTCCCATTTCAACTGCTACTGCCACTGCTGTCATGTGGCCTTTTCGGGTAAATGCAGGCTCAGATCTTAAGGCAAACTCAGCCTTACTGGCCAGGGGTGAAGGCAGAAACTCAGCTCCACACTTGTATGTAAGAGCCAGGTTATTCTGAGGGGAAATGGAAAATGAATTAATGAATAAATAATTATAATTTACATTAAAAAAATATAAAATTTTGTTTGCAAACCTGGTTATTGCTAAGGCACAATTCATCTGACTTAGAAGAGTAAGGAGAGTAGACTGCAGGCTTGTTTTTGATGATACCACCCAAGCTATAGCAAGCATCAATGATCTCCACCAACCGATTATTAACAGAGCGCAAGGGATACATACCTGCAATAAAGACCATACAAATAGGCAAAAAGAGGGGGATATGTTAATTTTAACTGCTGCTGATGAATAGATAATAAATAAAGGAAACATAACAAATGTCTGAGCAGGGCACTTACACATGGCAGAGTAATGTGAATCTTCATCTGAAGTGAATGTAACAAACAACACCTTGTCTGATGCAAAAACTTGCCCATACTGGTTGGATTTGGTCATATTTTGTGCTAGGACCTCTCCTGGTGTGGACACATAGGCAGCCTGGAAAAAAGATCCCCCACACCCCACCAAAATGAGTATTTATCTACTTTAATTCTTCTGTCTTTGTATTTCTTTCTCTCTCTCTCTCTCTCTCTCTGTCTCTATTTTTCTTTTCCTTTTAGTTCATGTCTCATACCTGGATTTTGTTGTACTTGTTTGATATGCTGCAGTTGAGCTGAAGCTCAGTGTAGGAGTAGTATGCCTCATCCTCCACACACATTCTGGAGATAAATGTGAAGTTCTTTGTGTCCTGGACGCCCAGCGTCCGAGAGAACAGGAAGTAGACAAAGTCACCATCTTTGAAGGCAAAACGAAAGTCGTGGAGGTAGCGCAGAACAAAGGGGTTAGCCTGCACTGCTGAGGCTTCAATAATACTGTCAAAAACCACCCAGTCTCCATAGTCCTGCAGAATACGTGTGGAGATCAGCTTGGTACTGTCATGACTGCCGTAGCCCTTGCCCACCTGTGCACAGAGAGGACAGGGTTTAAAAGTCATATATAATGCAATGAAAACACCAAACATAACAGTTAAAGGTTATAGTTAAGGAAGTGTGTGTTAAATTTAGATTTTGTGTGTCCCCATGATAAGGTAAGGAAGTTCTTATCAAATATTGCTTTTATTGATAACAGTTCTAATGCTGATTTATTCTTAATTACAAAAACACTGGTCATTAAGTCTAATTTATTCATGTTATATTTAGCTTTTTTTGTTTTTCAAAACAATTATCCAATCAGAAAGATGAATAAGCCTGAGTCTTTAGGTTGGCAGATTTAGTGCCGAAACCCAGTTAGTTTGAACATCAACTGCAGCCAATCATTAATCTGTGCTTGTGCAGCCTCTGCAGCTCAATGACTGAATGGTTCTCAGCCTTCACATGAGGTATGGCCAATCCATAAACTGAGAATGGAAAAAAAAGAAAAAAACAACTAAACTTATGTGTGTCCTCAAAATGCAGGATAAAGGGAAAGGCAACCCAGGTTCAGTTGCAATTGTAGAACTTTAGCAGACTACATACTGCTCCTTTAAATATGAATGGAGAGCATATGAAAGGCCATACATATAAAGTAAAAAAATAAAATAAAATAAAAAATCACTCACCAAGAAAACAGGTAAGCTTTTTCCATCTTTCTTAAAATATGACATGACGGCCACAACAGACACACTCTCCTCTGCACTGGCCACATAGGACTTTTCTCCTTTAGTATCACTGAAGTACAGCCGCTGCTCCACGTGGCTCAGGTTCCTCAGAGAGCAGATGCCCCTAAACACACTGCCACACACCACCAGGTCATTGGCGTTGTTGTCGCTGTGCACCAGCAGTAGCTTGTTGTGGTTGTCTGTGTCCACTGCCTCCTCACAGGCATCAGTGACTGGAGGAGTGCACTGCCGATTGTCCCGCTTGGGTCCAGTCTCAGCCTGGGACTCCACTTCTAGGTTAGAGTTCAACTGATAAAGGGCATTCACGGCCCCCACGTATAGGCGTCCTGTCCTGGGATCTGCTACCACATTGTTGATCAGAGTAGTTGAGAGAAAGTCTTTATTTTTGGCTCGTGAAGTGGAGAGGAATGATGTTGCAAGAATGTAAAGAGCAAACAGGCCTGCCCACCACTGCCCCATCATGCCTACAAAAAGACAAGAAAAAAGATGCACAATCTTTAGTTTTGTGAGAAGTTTTATGCTGTGCTTTAAAATTGTAACCACCACATACATAATAAACCTAATAAACCAAAATATGTCCTCTATTACATTTTACTTCCGTTTCATCAAGCACAAAAGATCAGTTTGTGTGTCCTTTAGCAGATAGGGCTGGAGGTTCGACATTAACTGTTAAAACTCTGCATATATAACAAATATTTAAACAACAATAAGTTTTTGTGATCAAAAAATGTTTTTATTTGCTGTCTAAATGAATGGGAATCTAGTGCCAATTCTAAACACATCGCTCCTGGCACGATCTTTAGTGCTCTCATAAAATGACATTTATAAAGAATGAATGCACTGAATACAAAGACACCCCATGCACATACAGACAGCAATTTTGTGATAAACTTTTATTGTACATCAGTCTTACAAAGATTTTCAATATCTTACACTGGCTGGGTACTCATTCTCACTTTCATTCTTCAAAGTGTCTTGTCCAGCAAAATTCAAAGCCTATATTTTGAATAAGGTTGCATAAATATGATGATGTAAAAAAATCATATATTCATGACCTAAACTTTGCAGTCGGACACCTCTTTAAATTACCACTATAATGACAATGCAGAATTGGCTGGTCTAAACAAAGTCAGATTCAAACAGCGCTTTTGACATTGTGCAGGGGTGGGCTCAGCAGTAGCAACAGCAGCACACACTCAAGGAGAAGTCTGAGCACTGAGAGCAAAGGGAAGCAATAATGAGTAGCTTCTCATTAAAAGCCTGAACATTCAGTACCGCAGGAACAAGGGAGGTGGAGTAAGTGGAGGTAGCGGCCTCCATGCGAAGACTTGCTGAGCTAGATTAGATTAGCCCAGACAAAGGCAGAGAGGGGATGTATGTGTGAGCAGAAGAGACTGAGTGTTGCAATTAGCCGTCTGACACCACAAGTTTCTCCTTCCATTAGTCTGGATGGGTGTGTTTAATTATGGTCGTGGCTGGCCTATGGCTGTAAAACAAGACTCCACTGTTCAGTAATAACATCTTTCTGCACCCAACATTACTCACTTTTAATCCACTGTTTATCGGGTTATCCCCAGGAGATGCACTCAATAATTGTCCACACAGTGAATGCATGATAAAGCTCTTTCTCATTACATTTTTACCAGCTCGCCTAAATTAAAAAGGCATCATTTATTTACAGTTGAATGTCTCTGTGTTCAAGTCCTTTACAGTCCAATCACTGATTTTATAGCTTCTATCAGACAGCTCTGATTGGTGGTCAATTGACTGGCGCCTCTCTGGTGTTTTTACTCTGTCTAAATTGAATTCCCTTCACTTGGCCTCATTGCAAAGGGATTTATTAGTGTAAAAAGACTTATCTCTCCACCCACCTGCCTGCCTAAATTACCTATCCTCGCATAACCAGAGCCATGGGTCTTTAACAGCTGTGATTTTATAACACACACACTCACATGCACATTCTAGAAGCATTTTCAATATTTTACCTCAATTTGCATCTAGCATCTGCTTCATTTTACAGTTCCAAACCAGTGCTACATCTAATATTCATTAATAATAATAATTAGTAACATGTATGCATATGTGTACAGTGTATACAGATGAAGTACTGACAGAACTGCAGTAGCATTCCTGTTTAAGCAATGCAAACTTGACTATTGACCATTTTTATATTTGGGTGACCATTTCTATTGTTTACAATAGAAAATGTAAAATATAACCCAATAACTTAGAAATAGAGCATGCCACATAAGCAGTGGTCCAAAGTTTCTCCCCTCACCACTGAGATTTCCAGTCGTGCCTGTATCATCCACTCTGCCTCAGGCCCTGTGATTGCACATGTTATATTTAGGGACAGTTCAGTCTATCCTTCACTGTAAAACATCATAGTGTCACATAATTTTCCATCTTTAGTGTTGTAAGCCCTGGGGGTCTCGTTGTAGGCATTTGCATTTGGACCATCAAAGAAAATGCACCTCTGGTTTGAGTTCAGGGTATGTTTGTGCTCAGTCTTTGTGATCTTTTATCCTGTTGACTTGGTTCTTAAAACTGGACTCCCACTGGCCCAAAAATAAACAAGGTGTCAAAGGTGTTTCTCCAGCACTTCTGCTTTTGAGAGTTCCACTAGTTCTACTGCATTGTGCATTGATTCTACACAGTCTATACAGAAATACAGAGGTTACGTTTCACAGCAATCTCCTTTTAGTAGATGAACATTTCTCAGGACCTTTGAGAATGGTCATTGTGTAGATGGACATAATAATGAGCACCAAATCAGTTGGTGGTGCACTATGTATCTTTTCTGGTGGAGGGTCCACCACCTTAAACTGGCTCATGTCAGATTAATATGTGTATGTATGACTCCTGCTGGAAGTGATCAGGACCTATCTGGACATTCAAGCTGATTGGTCAAAGCTTCATAACATTGGAACAACTCAAAAAAAAAAACTAACCTTTTTTAAAATACAGTTGAAAGAAAAGCACATCTTTCCCATCCACAAATGCACAAAGCACTTCCCTCTGCAAAGTTGTTCTCAAAAACAATAGTCAGTATTTTCGCTAAAATAGACTAAAGTATATGTCTGTCGGCCTTGCCATGTTTGTTTTTGTTCGATTGGGAGCTTCACCTTTGACTTCCACCCAAACCACAACACTGTTTGTGAACTCAAAAATATCACAGGAATCCATCTTCCTGTGCAAGGTTATCCGCCACCTGCTTGTCTCCATGAAGATTTTATTGCTTTGCCTGGAATGTTCCACAGCATGGCATTGTATCCATCTCAATAGAGACAGGCAGCTGACACCACCAAGCTACAAGCTGATTTGTGGTGAGGTGACCTTGCTTTCAGTAAGAATGCATTTTTTTCCCCCCAAGATATTACTTTTATTTTTAATTTTTTCCATTCTATACCGCTGAACCAATTAGGCAAACCAATAACAAGATGGTGGTGCATCCACACACAGAGGCCTGGAGCTCTTCTAGTGAGCATCAGAAAAGTCACACTAGTATAGTGACACTTTAGCTAAATCTTAATGAAATAATAACCAAAGGAAAAAGCAATACAAAGTGAATATGACAGGTGGTGACGATTCATTTTACTCATTGAAATATTATAGAGAACCACTGAACTATGAGATCTAACTATCAGTTCTGGTATAGTAAGTCACGTTAATGCCAAAGTAGCAGAACATTGTCATTTTAATTGCTTTGAGAGATCTAGTCTGAAAGCAGCAAGATATCTGTGACTCATTAAAATCCAGTGTGCATACTTGGAGAAGTCTAGAGCGTTGACCCTTCTGCTAAAAACTTTGGAGTGAAACTAAAACCAGGAATGTCTGCAAAGCTCCAGCCAAGGGAATACAGGCTGACTGATTCTCTCTCTTCCTGTCTAACCTAAGCTCTACTCCTTCCAACTTCTCTCTGTCTAATTCCCATTGTGCTTTGGTCTTCCTGGCGCTATGTTCCACTGCAATGGTCAATCTCTTTTTATATCTGACCCCACTGGAGTTAGCTCAAATAACTTTTATTTCTGTAGACAGTCAATACCATACATAAGCATGCAGGCAAACCTGTCTTTCTGCATTTTAGATGAAAACTGTATATAAAGCTCCTCCTTAGGCAGAGTAACCCTGTTAAGTTAACCATGTACTCTAACTGCTTATAGAACATGACAATACTTTTTCCATTGTTTGTAGTTTCATTTGTGATAGTAGTATTATAATTCTTGCAACAAGACACTTAACTATTTAACAATTATGTCTGATTACTGTTAACATTACCAAACAAGAGAAAAATCTCTTTTAGTCCCAGTCTCTCATACTGTACCACTTATAAAAAAATAAAAATAAAAATACATTTACTGTTTTGGAGTCTACATTGCTTCCAAACTCTCACAAATGCTATTTTGTAGTTCTTACAATTAAATTGTGAACTGAATAAGCACAGTTGTCTATTAACTGAATAATCTCGATATGCCTAAAAACACACAGCAATTCAATGGAAACATTGGTAGGAGCACAAATGGTTCAGTATGGCTCAGCTGTCCCTTAATATATTACCTGTACAGTTGCTGTAAAATACTGGGAACTGTCAAGAATCTTTTTCATGGGATATGGGATATGTACCGTGCAAGGGTATAATATTTTTTGTCCTGTGCATTTTTAAGTTTCTACAAAATACACTAAAATAATAAAAAAACATGATGTGTTCTCATTCAAATTCAAGACCTCCACTGTGTGTCATTAGCCATTCATGACACCAGTCCAGTAAAACGCAGAAGCTGATTGGCTGAGCCCGCAGGGGAGGCTGGTGCTATGATTGGCGGAGCCCAGGGGAAATTGACTTCTTATTGGTGGTAATGAAGGGGCTTGAAAGAGAGTATGGCTGAGACAAAGTAAGCATAAAACCTAAAGACCGAAGAGGATAGGACACGCACACAACAGCTATAGTTCATTTATCACCAGCACACACTCTAATCTCCGGTGCCAGCCCACAGCGCCACTACACATTACAGAGGCACAAATGTTTTCAAGATGTTCATGAGGCGGCCATGGTTGAAAAATGCAGTTTACAGCACAACATTTCAGTATCATCTGTCTGCACACTGGAGTCTAGACAAGCAAGAAATGAACTTTAAATCAACACGAACCATCTCATCTGGTACTGCTGCAGTTTTTCCTTTTGACTTCCAAATCACAAAATCCAGGAAAAATGTCTGCTTCTATACAAATGGAAACTTTCTCGAGGCAATGTTTGAACCTATTTTTTCTTAAGAGAGGATTACATATTCAGTGCAAATGTATAGGTAATATTTGATCTGCAAGAAGGGAAAGATAGGTAACTTAAATTGGAATGGTGGTCAGACTTGTAACTATTCAAAAGTCTAGCAATCAATTGGTATATACTAATGATTCATACAGTTTATGTAACATGTTCTGACAAATTACAACACAGATGCTTGACATA